GAAGAATATATACTCATACCGAAAGGGTTAAATACTGAATCACACCTGATATTCCTTCTTTGTCTTGGCCGCTTTCTGCTCCTTGTCCTTCTTATCCTTCTTGTTCTTCTCCTTGGGCTCCTTGGGAGGCTTGGATGGCCTCCGAGGCGGCTGAGGCGTGTCGCTACCCCTCAAGCAGCAGGTGCTCTCTTGTAGCAGGAAGCAGAACACGTACAGCAGAAACAGGATGCTGACACCGTACAGATACGTAAAGAATCCCTCGTAATAGTACAACGGCAGTTTGTGCGTGACTACCTCGCTTATCACGTAAGCGATGCACACAACCACCAGCAGCTTCGCGTAGATGAAACTCATGATAATGAACAGCGACGTCCTGCAAATCAGAAACGGAGAAAAAAAGAAAAACTCGTATGTTAGATCACGATCGATAAATTCCGCGAGTCTCACCGTGTTTTCCGGACAATCTGTACCCTACTCTCGTGTCTCGGCACACCCCCGGATCTGTTCACGTTGTTATTCTCCACGCACGGCACTATTTCCACCTCCATCGTGAATTATTACCACAATAATCTCGCCTATCCTCGACAAACTCTCTGTTTATTTCATCGTGGAGAAAAAAGAAAACTCAATCTGTCTACACACGATCGCGTCAGACCGCAGCCGCGTTTCGATTATCCCGAAGCGTCGAGTACCCGCGCCGAACACAGACGTCGATTCACTGACATTCTATTTTCGCTGTCGAACCTCCCAGTTCGATTCTCGTCGCCTCCACGATTTTTCTCCCCCTGGTTCTTCTTTCTCTCCTCTCAAGTCATCGTCGGCTGGCTAATTTCAATTGCGCACTCGCGAACATCCTCTTCTTCTTTCTTCAGGCTGGTAGTTCGGCGAGAGCCTCGTAATATCGGGCGGAAGAGTTCTGGCGCGTCCAGACGACGCTTCGAAGCGAGTCGGACTCGCCGCCGCTGTTCTTGCACACCGCTCGCCAGCTACGGGCGGTTCTTTTCTCGTTAAAGGTTAGGTCGCGGAATCGATAATTTGCGTGTGTGTACTCGAAAGGGGAGCGCAGAGAGCGCGCGTTGTCGGCCGATCTCGCCGTGAATTAATCGCGCGCGAGTTAACCGGGATCCACCTTTCGGTCTGCCTCGCAGATTCACCGCGCACGCGCACAAAAAAAACCGAGAACGCGGGATAAATCGCGACGATCGAGAAGAGAGAGAGAGAGAGAGAGAAGAGAAACGAGAGGAGAGATATTTTGGAGATTAACGGAGGAGCGTCTGCGGTGCGATTGCACCGCGTCGCGACGTCTGCACGGGAATATCAGGGGCTCGGCCACGTATGGTGCATCTTCGTGAAGAAGGGCTTAACCACCCTTTGTCACGCTGCCATTCCAGGGGTTGGGGCGCAGACTTTATTGTGTTCCGCACGAACACTCGTGCCAGGCATTTTTTTTCCTCTCTTCGATGATTATCGTGCTGGATAGAGGTGGAGCGTGATATTTAGCTAGGCACCCGGAAGCTGCAAATTTTCAGAGTTCCTTTGTTTTTTCTTCGACCGTGACTAAAGCCCTTTCGTATTTCCAAGATCGCCTACTCTCTGCATACCCACGCGATTTATTTTTTTAAACAATTTCTGGGTCGGTGCAAGTGGTACGTGATCGGTAGTAATATTGCTAACCCTTTCGCCACGGTAAATTTTCAACCGTGGGCGCAAGATTTGTTATTTCGGGCGTATTGTCGTTTTGGAGTTCGGTTCAATCGGTTACGATGGAAGTGCGTGAGGACAAGATCGAGCGTTAAATTAAGGTGGAAGTGCAGCAGAAAGCTCCAACAGTGCGGTGTGAGCAAATTTTCAAAACGCCTATAGACGCGAATAGTAATGGAAGGGTTAATACGTTGTCGATCGATCGAGGCGATTTCTCTGAACGATCGATCCGAGAGATCTCTTATTTCACTTATTGTTAGCGATGCAAAGAGTATATAATGTTTGCGAATTTTGTCAGACTTGTCTAATTATTTCAGAAATGTGTGCAAGCTTTATGTGTGCTTAAATTTAAGAATCTTAAGAGACCAGGGATCGTCCCAATGTGATAATTTCTAAATTTTTGTGAAATTTCAGTATCTAGTAGATCGCCCTCTAATTCGCGAGTAGTAATATTTACCCCGATATCTCGGAAACTATCGCAGTTAGAGGGGTGCTACGAATTGACGAAATTTCCTAATTTCTCTCGCAAAATATAATAAAATACGAATAAAAACGCGACGGTCAGTGTGTACAGTAAGGCACAATCCTCAACGTGAATAGAAAAAATCCGTTGAAAACACAATTCTCTCCGTTTGGAGAAACCAAAATAGCTCTGGTATACTTCTAAATCGCGACCACCGCCGAAGGGAACGTTCCTGCAGCTTCTAACGTCGCTTCGAATTATCGGCAGAATTTCTCTCGAACTTTTCTCACCGAGGGTATCTTCTCTCGCCGCATCTCGCTCGTGGCAAGAGAACGGGTTGGAACGAAGAAGAAGAGGGCGTGTGTAGGTTGGCCCCGAGGGAAGGAACTTTTTCGAAGTTTCCGCCGCGGTAGGACAGAAAGAAAAAGGAAGACGAAGAGCGAAAAAATAGAAAAGAAAGACGAAAGAGTGAGAGAGAGAGAGGAGGAGAAAAGGCAACGTGGTGTGGCCTTTCTTTCCTACTTCTGAAGGAGAAAAGCGGCGGTAGAAGTGGAAACAGCGGTGGATAGCACAGACTCCGGAGCGAACCAGGCTGACTCGCGATCGATATTTCGAAGTACCTACTTTCAGCCTCTGGTCTTTCTCTCTATATACCTCTCTCGCCCTCTCGACTCACCCTCGCCTCATCTGTGTCCTCTCCACGAATTTCGCTCACCCCTTCGCGTTCAATCACGCCCGTATTCTTCCCTTTTCTCTCTCTCTCTACCCTGGTAGAAGCGCGCGTTTACACGCAGACCGGATCGTTTGCGCGTTTTCTCTGGTCAAATTCTCTCTACCGTTGACAAACTATTCAAATTCGAACGTGTCCGGCTTCCAATCCTCCGCGTTACTTCCATCGCCCCCACTTTTCCCTTTTCACTCTCCATCTACCTTTTGCGCAACGGGGGCTGCGGCGATTTTCTCGGCTATTTTAACACGAACGACCGGTGTTCCAACGTGGACAAACGTCTCCGTTGATTTACGAGAACGTTTACGAAGCGTTATTCTCGGTACGGCGACGTACTGCGGATTGTTTTGCCGGAGTTTTCGTGTTGGTCGTGTGACCGCCGCGGCGGAGGTATGTGCAGTCACGTTCACGGGGACCGTAATACTGTCTTGTCTCAGCGTCTAGACCGGCCAAGCTTCGCTTTCAACCCGTGTTAATGCAATTGCGACTGCGACTGTGTAATTCGAGAAGGTATTGCCCTGCTGTTGCTGCGTGCATGCACACCCGTATCACTGTCGCACTTTGCCACTCGATCGATATTGATAAATTGTAAATCCTCCGCGAAACTAGTCCGCGCAATTATCTCCCCCCTCTCTCTCTCGACTTCGATATTCTCGCGATATTACAATTAGACGTTATCACGTTAAGGTATTATTCTTCGTCGCGCCACGTTCCTCCGATCCGGCAATTAGAGGAGGAACGTGCAACTGGAGCGCTCGAAAAGGTAAATCCTCGACGATCTACCCTTCGCTGGTTTTTCACGCTCGACACGCCGGCGTTCGTCGAAAATAAAATGAAAAAACAAAGAAGAGAAAAGGTGTCGTCGCGTTGTACGGGATTAATGCTCGACGGCCTGTGCCCCGTCTTTCTCCTCTCCCTGTAGGGCTAGAGGCTCGATATTATCGAAGATAAACCGCATCCACGCATGTAGGAACGCGTGCGTTTGTGTCTGTGCGTGGCTGTCCCTCCTCGAAATACGTTCGCGCTCCACTTCCTCGATTCTTTTCCCGGAGAATGATTTCCCATTCGTTCGGTGGCCGCAACCTCGGTCGGTTAGTTACTTCTTTGGAGCGTGGGGTAGTAGTAGGTGGTGTACGTGCGCGAGTGCATAACTCGGCTGCCGCGTATAATGCACACTAGACGCAAGACGTTTCATAGGCAGCAGCCACCGCGAGACAGCTAACGAAGTGCGTCGTAAATAGACACGCAGACGAAAGCTTCCACCTCTTGCCGCCATTTCGAGGCGAACGAAACCGGAGAGTGTCCCGTAATGAACGGCACCGACGCCACCGACGTGATTCTGCGTGGAAAAAGAAGAATGCGAGGAATCATTTTTCTTCTGTGGTCTTGTGTTTTCTTACATTCTTTTCTTTTGCTTCGATGAAACACGGGTTTCTCGGTTGTTCGAGGGTCTTTTCGTAGTTTGCAATTTTTATTAAGTATTTTGGGAAAATGTAATTAACAGGGATGTGTACGTAGTGGGAGTAAAATACACAACTATGTTTTTCAGTAAAATACAATATTTCGAATTTTTCACAGGAAATGTAACTATCTGAGATTTGAAATAGACTTTTTTGCAAGCTGCAATTTTTATGAAATGCTTTTGAAAAATTCTATTCGGAAAAATGTAATTAACAGGGATGTGTACGTAGTAAGAGTGAA